TTTGGGAAGCCAAGGTGGGTGGATCACCTGAGGTCATGAGTTCTAGACCAGCCTGGCCAACATGGTGAAACCCCGTCTCTACTAAAAATACAAAAATTAGTCAGGTGTGGTGGCGGGCGCCTGTAATCCTGGCTACTTGGGTGACTGAATCAAGGAGAATCGCTTAAACCTGGGAGGCGGGGATTGCAGTGAGCCAGAATTGCACCATTGTACTCCAGCCTGGGTGACGAGCAAAACTACATCTCAAAAAAAAAAAAAAAAAAGCCACTCTTGTGTAAACACAGACATTCCCAATGTCCCAAGTCACTATAGGAAGGAAGCCAGCAGGGGCTTGCCTAAACCCCACTCCCCCACCATGCTCTGAGCACTTCCCTGCTCGGCCAGGCTCACACAGCTGAGACTCACCTAAATTTGCCTGGTGGCAGAGCTGGACCCTTCAACACTAGGACATGGTTCTCTGTTTCCATGACATGACACACATCAGGACCAATCTTGCAGTTCAAAACATTCTGCCGGGCGCAGTGGCTTACGCCTGTAATCCAAACACTTTGGGAGGCCAACATTGGCGGATGACCTGAGGTCAGGAGTTCGAGATCAGTCTGGCCAATGTGGCGAAACCCCATCTCCCCATCTCTACTAAAAATACAAAAATTAGCTGGGGTGTGGTGGTGCACACGTGTAGTCCCAGCTACTCAGGAGGTTGAGGCAGGAGAATCGCTCGAACCCAGGAGGCAGAGGTTGCAGTGAGCTGAGATCACGCCATCATTATACTCCAGCCTGGGTGACAGAGCAAGTCTCAAAAAAAAAAAATCCTGCCAGTTCGCACCCAGGTGCCGGGCACTGTAATGGAAGGAACATCAGGCATTGCACCTGCCCTCATGGCCACTTACCTTCTATACAGGGAAACAGATGCAGGAATTAGAGCTCTGCGTAATTCTAGGTAGGCTGGGGAGATCCATTGCTGGTGAAGGGTCAGGGAAGGCCTTTCCGAAGTGACATTTGGGCTGAAGCTTGATAGAGGACATATCAGGAACATGTCCAGGCTGACAGCACAGCCAGTGCACGGGCCCAGGGACAGCCACACGTGCTCTGTGTGGAAGGAAGAGGGGCAAAGCCAGGACAGCTCAAATGGAGTGAGCAATGGGAGGGCAGGAGATGAGGTGTGAGGAGGAGCAGGGCCCTACCAGGCAGGGCCTTGTTGCTTCATGACATTTAAGTCCAAGAAACATCCAGAACAGTGTTTTGTTTTTTGGGGTTTGTTTCTAAATCTCTGCTCCTAATGTTTGGGGGGATGTCCAGTGTTGCTTATTTCTCATGACTCCTTGCCTCAGGGAGTCCAGGTGGTCCAGAACTTGGACCACCTGCCTAGGCCCAGGCCCACCTGCCTAGTTCGGCCACCATTGCCCAAAACCTTGCCCAACATCCCTGGGCAAAGCTTGGTGTCCAGCCCCCTATGCCCCGGACACCCAGGAGACCACCTCGGGCCTCTGTCGCTCATGGAATCACCCTTCCTTCCAACCTGTATCATAGTAAAGCCTCCGCTCCAAGGAGTAAACGCCTGGCTTTCAGGGCCCAAGATGGAGGGATGTTGGTTACCCTTGATGTCATCATACACCTGGCCTCTTCCTCTCCTGCTCTATCATCCTCTGTGAGCAAGCTTCAGTCTCCAGCTTATGGCCTCATGGTTGCAACACGGCTGCTGTGGCACCCAGCAGCACACCCTCAGGTGGTGTCTCCATTTTGCAATTGTTGGCTTTCCTGCAGCCCTGACTGGGGGGCCTGGCACAGGCCTGGAAGCGCAGGACCTAGTAGCTGTCCCGATAGTACTGCTATGGGGAGGCTGAGGTTAGAGGTGGAGTGCAGGGGGCTCACAGAGGGTGACAGCAGGAGAGGAAGAGGCCAGGTGCACAATGACATCAAGAGTAACCAACGTCCCTCCAGCTTGGGCTCCAGACGTTTACTCCTTGGAGCGGAAGGCTCTACTATGATACAGATTGGAAGGAAGGGTAATTCCATGAGGGTCAGAGGCCCAAGTTATTGGTCCCAGCTGCTGGGTGGCCTGGTCCAACCAGGAGCAAAGGCACAGAGCAGGGCGCCCTCTAGGGCAGCAGAAAAGAAATGCAGATCTCTCCCAGGGGTCTCCTGGGAGTCTTCATCTGGGGTCAGATGAGTCCCAGGCAACAGGAATGGAGATTGCTTTGATGTGCTTGGACCATCTCTCCTGTCCTGGGCATGTTGCGGCTCAAACAAAGAGGTTCTCTCAGCAAGAAAGGCAAGTGGGCTGGTAATCAGAGAGGATCCAGCATGTCTGCCACTTCCCTCTTCCAAATGCCAGCCTCTGTCCTGGAAGGACCATACTTTCTCCTCGGACAAACCACCTGGTTAAGAAGCCATTGCCGGTGGTGGAGTGTGTGTGCATGCGGTTTGGGAGTTGACAGGGTCCCAGCAGGAAGATGACAGCATGCTTAGATGGGATATTCCAAAGAGTTTAACCAAGGGATCGTTTGCAAAGGAGCAGCAGGGACTGGGAAACCACCGGGACTGGTGCAGAACCCCAGGACTGGCACCACGGGAACTGTTACCACCCCCAGGCCACAAGGTACAAACAGAAGGAACAAGAACCCAAAAGGGCAAATCCCAGGGAGAGGGTAGTGCTGAGGGAGCTGTGGTCCTGACTCCCACACAGGAGGGAGTGAGAATCAACACCCTGACTTTACTCACCCCCTGCAGGGCACCCCATTGTCCAAATCCTACTGGAAGCCAGACTGCATAGAAGCCCAGGTGACCCCGCCTCCCAGTCCACCTCCTAGGCCATGGAGCAGGGCAGAACAGGACTGAGAGGGTTCCTGGAGAACTGGGTCCCTGGAAGGAAAACAGTTCATCTTTCACTGCAACTCTCCCCCTGCTTGAACCCGCACATCTACCCTTGGCCTCCCCATAGCAATACCATCAGGACAGCTCCTGGGTCCTGAGCTCTCAGGCCTGTGCCAGGCATCCCAGTCAGGGCTGCAGGAAAGCCAACAATTGCAAAATGGAGACACCACCTGAAACCCCATTTTTCAGATGACCCAACTGAGGCCTGGATGCTTGCCCATAGGAGGGGTTCCTCAGCGGGATGCGGTGGCTCACTCCTGTAATCCCAACACTTTGGGAGGCCAAGGCAGGCAGACAGTTCGAGCTCAGGATTTTGAGACCAGCACTAGGCAACACAGCAAGACTCTGCCTCTACAAAAAATTTTAAAATTAGCTAGGTGTGGTGATGCATGCCTGTAGTCCCAGCTACTTGGGAGGTTGATGTGGCAGGATCACTTGAGCCCAGGAGCTCGAGGCTGCAGTGAGCTGTGTTCACTCCACTACTGCACTCCAGCCTGGGTGACAAAGCAAGGCCCTGTCTCAAAAAAAAAAAAAAAAAAAAGCCTTCCTAACCAAGCACTGCTTATATGTCTGCCACATGGCAGGCCCCATGCTAAGCATTGTCTCCATGTGAGCTACCTGGATCTTCAATACAAACCGGGAAGAGGGGACTCCTTAGTCTCATTTTCCAGATGAAGAAACCAAGGCTCAATAAGAAGTCACTTGCTCTGGGTCCTCCAGAGAGCAAGTGGCAATGAGTGGCCAGCAGACCCTCAGCACTGCCACCCTGGCTTCCCCAAATGAATTGGCACAACCGACTCTTGGGCAATGGGAAGAAATGAAGAAACACTCTCACCAGCAAGCCTTGTACAGATGTCCCCTCTGACTAGCACACCCTCCCCTTTCATCTGAAACCTTTCAGGGCTTATCCAGGAAGCCATCCCTGCTCCGGTAGGCTGGATCAGGAGCCTGTCCGGGTCCCTCGGTACCCCTCTTTACCCCGTCATGGCTGGGTCCCTGCCTCACTTGCCTCTCACTGTCTTGGTCATTCTGGGCTGACACTGGCGTGCCTCCTTCATGGACTTACGTGATCATTTTCAATAAGCTAGGTCTGGAGCTTAGAAAATTGTTGAGTTGGCCAGGTGTGGCGGCTCATGCCTGCAATCCCAGCACTTTGGGAGGCTGAGGCAGGTGGATCACTCGAGGTCAGGAGTTTGAGACGAGCCTGGCCAACATGGTTAAAACCTGTCTCTACTAAAAATACAAAAATTAGCTGGGTGGGTGGTGCGCACCTGTAGTCCCAACTACTTGGGAGGCTGAGGCAGCAGAAATCACTTGAACCCAGGAGGCAGAGGCTGCAGTGAGTGGAGATCGCACCACTGCACTCCAGCCTGGGCAACAGAGCGAGACTCCGCCTCGAAAACAAAAATTAAAATTTAAAAGACAGAGCTTGGATTGCTTCTTGGCCTTTTGGCTAAGAATCAAATGTAGAACAGAGCTTGGCCAGTGTGCCGGGGTAGGGTCCTGGGAGCCCCTGGCTGTGTCAAGAGACCCCCTTTGGGCCAGGTGCAGTGACTCATGCCTGTAATCCCAGCACTTTGGGAGGCTGAGGCAGGAGGACCACTTGAGGTCAGGAGTTCAGGACCAGCCTGGCCAACATGGTGAAACTCTGTCTCTACCAAAAATATAAAAATTAGCCGGGCGTGGGGGTGCATGCCTGTAGTCCCAGTTACTCGGGAGGCTGAGGCAGGAGAATCGTTTGAACCCGGGAGGTGGAGGTTCCAGTGAGCCAAGATGGTGCCACACTGCACTCCAGCGTGGGTGACAAGAGTGAAACTCCAACTCAAAAAAAAAAAAAAAAAAAGAGAGAGACCCCCTTTTACTTTCCAGACTGTGGGAGGGAGGGAGAGTGTTGTCCCAGGCAGTCACTAGGGTCTAGATTATTAACAAATTAGTATTTTAGTGCCTGCTACACCTGAACAGTGCTTCTGGCTGAATGTTAGCCCTGGGAATCTGAAGATCAGAGAGGTGGGGCATCCTGCCTGAGGATGCACAGCCTGGATCCTCATTTTGCCCTGATTTATCCAGATCTGCTGTCCTCCCTGCACCCTACAGAGCAGGGCAATCACAGCAGAGGGGCCCTTCAGTGTCCTCAGACAGCTGCTGTGATTTGAATAACCAGGCAGGCTGCTGGATGTCCCCTGGTGACTGATTTGCCTGGCAAACAGACCCTCAACCCCTGGGAGACACTCAACCCCCCTGGAGCCTTGTTCCCTCTTCCTATGCCCAAAAGCTCCCCAGGCCCATCTCCCCTTGCCTGGCCCTGCTTGGTGGTCCTAGTGCTTGTCCACCCCAGAAGCTGGACGGTTACCTCCAAAACCTGGGAGAAGATGGGCAGGTCCCTGGGCAAGAGTAACCCGAGCCAGCTTAGTCCACTCCCAGGGACAGTCAGGAAATTTGCATGAAGAGAATGAGGTTCCTCAGCGGCTTCCCCTCCTTTCCCACCAGGGATAGTCATCCTGGGGCTGAGGTCTGACAGCAGGTGGAGGCAGCCCCTGTGTGTGGAGAGCCTTCCAGAGGGCATGCCCCGCGCCTTCCTGGTCAGGAGTCGGCGTCCACAGCCTCCCAACTGGAGCCACCTGCCTGACCAGCTCCGGGGAGATGCCTATATCCCAGGTGGGCCCCTCACGATGCTTGGAGGTAAGGGGCAGGAGAGATGCAAAGCGTCACCATCTGGCTTCTCTCCTCAGACTGCAGCAGCCTGAGGAGGCCACCGGCACAACAGTCGTCCAGTGTCAGGGATCCATGGACAGCGGTGAGTGTGTAGCTGGCCAGCAAAATCAGCTGTTTCCCTCCTGCCTGCTCTCAGCCTTAATGAAGCTGACAGTCCCTTGCTCCCCAGGCCCATCTGCACATGCCCTCCAGCCTCCGGACCTGTCTGCCCCTACTTCTCTCTGTTGGGAATGCCTCTCCTTTCCTAGTAGTGAGCTCCCTACCGTTAGGTCCCACCCCAGGCACCAGGGCCGGCAGCCACAGGGATCTCTCTGTCCAGCGGGGCAGAACAAGATTCAACCCCACATGTGGATGAACTGCTTTATGTCAGGACATGGGACAACAGGAGTGCGATGGGAGATAAGGGCTATTTCAGCTGTGCATGCATTGGAGGAAGGAAAGCGCCAGCTGGAATGTAGTATGTTCATGAAAGCCAGGCACTGTTCTAGGGATGGGCCGTTATATTCAGTGGGAATAAGACAAAAATCCACAATTTTAAGGAGCTTATATTCTGGTTGGGGGCTGCAGGTATAGACAATAAAATTAGCCAGCCTGTAATTCCAGCACTTTGGGAGGCCGAAGCGGGTGGATCACTTGAGGTCATGAGTTCGAGACCAGCCTGGCCAACAGGTTGAAACCTCATCTTTACTAAAATTACAAAAATTAGCCAGACATGGTGGCACATCCCTGTAATCCCAGCTACTTGGGAGACCGAGGCAGGAGAATCGCTTGAACCTGGGAGGCAGCGGTTGTAGTGAACTGAGATTACACCACTGCACTCCAGCCTGGGTGACAGAGCGAGATTCTGTCTAAAGAAAAAAAAAAAAAGCCAGGCATGGTGGCACGCGCCTGTAATCCCAGCTTCTCAGAAGGCTGAGGCAGGAGAATCAATTGAATCTAGGAGGCAGAGGTTGCAGTGAGCCGAGATTGCACCACTGCACTCCAGCCTGGGAAACAGACCAAGACTCCATCTCAAAAACAAACAAAAAAAACCCCAGTAAAATTAGAAAAGTAGACCGGGCATAGTGGCTCACACCTGTAATCCCAGCACTTTGCAAGGCCAAGGCAGGTGGATTGCTTGAGGTCAAGAATTCGAGACCAGCCTGGTCAACATGGTGAAACCCCAACTCCACAAAAAATACAAAAATTAACTGGGCATGGTGGTGCATGCCTATAATCGTGTAATCGTGTACTCATGGGGAGGCTGAAGCACCAGAATCGCTTGAACCCGGAAGGCAGAGGTTGCAGTGAGCTGAGATCGTACCACTGCACTCCAGCCTGGGAGACACAGCAAGACTCTGTCTTTAAAAAAAAAAAAAAAAAAAAAAAAAAGTGTATGTCACATCAGAAGATGGGATTGGTATAGAGAAAGTAAGGGCCATGGGATAGTGAGGGAAGGCCCTGGAGAGTGACAGGTACACACACTAATCACTGTCTCCCACCTGCCTTCCTAATCTTCCGTGGTGGCTCCGGGCACTCTGTAAATACCCATTTGCAGAGTAACAAAGGGTGGGTGGGGTCCAGCCAGAGGGGCTAATAACTCTTGCATCCCTCCAGCAGCCCACACAGGACAACCTGACCTCTGCTCCCAGGGGCCCAGGGACGCTGGGCTGCCCGCTCTGCCCTAAGGCCTTCCCTCTGCAGCGCATGCTGACAAGGCACCTCAAGTGCCACAGCCCTGTGCGCCGCCACCTGTGCCGCTGTTGTGGCAAGGGCTTTCATGACGCCTTCGATCTCAAGCGCCACATGAGGACTCACACTGGTGAGCAGTGGCAGGGACAGGGAAAAGTTGCTGGGCCCCAGGTGGGGATGGAAGGAAATGGAGAGAGGTGCTGGGCTGTGCAGAGTCCGGGGTTTGTGTATGTGGGGTATGGGGAATCGAGACATGATGTCTCTCGGACCCCAGTGGGTGGGTGTAAGGTGGCAGGAAAATAGGGGCCTGTCAAGGGATGCAGAGTGCAGACGGATGCCGGTTATACGATTCAGGCTCCAGATCGAAGGGCAAGGGAAGGCCTCCCTCTCCATCCCCCAGGGGACAGAGCATCCTGGTGAGGGAGGGTGGGGACAAAGGTGTCTGGCCCATGTCTGCACGGGGTGAGGGTAGCAGATGGTGCGTCATGGGTGGAAGAGTCTGAAGAGCTCGGAATAGGGAACGCAAATGCTCAAGGCTGGAAAGCAGGGTAGGGGCGCTTTAGTCCAGAGCCCATTGCCCTCTCTGTCCAGCCCTCCCCTCTGCGCCCATCTGTGCAGGGATCCGGCCCTTCCGCTGTAGTGCTTGCGGGAAAGCGTTTACGCAGCGCTGCTCCCTGGAAGCTCACCTTGCTAAGGTGCACGGGCAGCCGGCCAGCTACGCTTACCGCGAGCGTCGCGAGAAGCTGCACGTGTGCGAGGACTGCGGCTTCACCAGCTCCCGGCCGGACACCTACGCACAGCACCGCGCCCTGCACCGCGCAGCCTGATACGGTGTGCCAGCGTCCTCCCCAAGAGGCAAATAAACACAGGAAACTCACGCATGGAATCTGGTGTTTATTACACTCGGGGGAGAGGGGAGGTCACTCGGTCCAGCGGTGGCCACAGTGTGGGGCTGTGCACACGTAGTACAGGCGCATAGCATCCTGGCAGAAATGATGCATGGTTAGGAAGGGTTTGGACCCAGGAGCGCCTCACCCCAAAAGAACAGGCAAGAGAACTTCACCAATACGTAAGGGTCCGGCCCAGAGTTCCAAGGAGCGCTGGGTCACCCATATTGATATCCCCGCCCCGGGGAAGGACCAAATAAGCCCCAGATACTTAAGAAGCCCTCGTGCCACTTACCTCGGCCCGGGCACTGTGCGACTGGAAGAACACAGCCTCCTTATGGCCACACCTGAGGGGGTGGGAGCTCGGTCACTGGAAGCTTGGCAACCTTCCCTCCTCCCTTCGCCCAGTGAGAACAAGCCTCACTTTACCTCCCCAGTACCAGCTGAGCGCTCACTTTTGGCACGGGTGGTCCTCGGTCCGCGGCAACGTGGGGTCCTGGGACACGTCGGCGATAATCTGGGTCAGTTCGCTGCAGGCACGTGGGGGTGCAAAATGACTCTCCAACCCAGCCTCCAGAGCCAACAGCCCCGCCCCCAGCTCAGGGCCCGCCACTCACTCCACTTCGTGCGTGATCTTGTTGACATAGATGCAGCTGTTGTCGGCCTCCTGCTGGTAATCACAGTTCCGGCACTGCCAGAGGGCGAGTGTGGGGGTAAGGGAGTCATGGCGGGATTCCAGATAAGACTGGGAGGAGAGGGCAGGGTGATCCCGGAGGGTATGACGACAGGACTGTCTTTGGTGATGGGCAGGAGAGTCAGGATCACTTGGGGTGCAGCGGGGGGCGAACAGGGAATCCGGTCACAGAGGCAGGGGGCAGGGCGGGGCCACTTGTGTGGACCGGACGGGGAAGACCCGAGCGCTCACCGCGTATAGCAGAATGCGGTTCTCCTTGTCTTCCTTGGGGTACAGCATGTTGTTACTACGGGGAGGGGGACGTGCCAGGGGTTAGTCCTGGAGCCATTCCTCGCCCCCTTTCTAACATCACCCGCTCCCTCCGCCTCACCATTCCTGGCAGAAGCGAATACCCACGAAGCCCGGTTCGTAGGTCCCGTCGGGCTCCATGGCGACGCGCAGCCCGCCCAACCTTCTGCGCTTGCTCCGCCGCGCTACAGGTCGCGGGAGGGGCCAGGCCTAGGTGCTTCGCCAAAAGTGGGCGGAGCTGCGCACACGTGCTGGCTACCCGCGGCCTTGGGCGCGGCTCTCTCCGCGCAGAGGTTTCATGGCTTGCGTCAATCTTTTGATATCCTAGAGTAATTGCTTCCAATTTTTGGGCATCGCCGCCTTAGTTTACAGAATAGTATGGATCTGAGTGCCAGAGCCAGGAAAACGATGCGCACTGTAAGCCGCAAAACGCTGAGCACCCAGGAAAGAAGCCATGGCGCTTGACTTGGTTGAAGGCCAGCGCGCATGCGCGAGTTGCCCTTCGCGCACTGAGAGAGCTCTTGCCAGTCCTCCCTCCCGGCTTCAGTCTTCGCCGCTTGCTGTGGTCCTTTCCCGGTCGCTATTGGAAGAACCGTGAACTATGGAAGGCCTCTCTGGATTGGCTGGGCTAGCCTAGGAATAAGGAGAACCCTCTTTCTGGCGGTGGGGAAGGGACGGGGGCGATTGGCGGACGCTCCTGGCAGGAGAGCGCGGATTGGTCAGGCCCGGAACAGGAGGCGGGGCTGATATCCCAGCAGCGGCGGCGGTGGCGGCTGCGGAGCGACCGCGCTGCAGGCCCCGGCAGGGCGCGGCAAGATGGAGGTGACGGGGGTGTCGGCACCCACGGTGACCGTTTTCATCAGCAGCTCCCTCAACACCTTCCGCTCAGAGAAGCGGTACAGCCGCAGCCTCACCATCGCTGAGTTCAAGGTGTGGCCATAGGGGCGGGGTCCGGAGGGGCGGGGCGAAGAAGAAATGGGGGGGTTCCCCAAATGGGGAGGCGGGGAGGGACCGGGGAACGACTGGGCGGCCCTGGAGGTGATCCCAGGCTGCGGAGTCTGGGAACTCGGTCGCGGCGGAGCGGGTCCGGAGAGAACCCGAGAGTGAAGAGACGAGGGGCGGGTCCAGCGAAAAATCCGACGGTCCAGAGGGCGGGGGCAAGAGGCGAGGGGCCGGAGTGCGGCCCCGTGCGTCCTGACTGGGGGGTATTTTGGAGGAACAGGGACGTGGCGATGGTCATTGATGCAAGGGGCGGGGCCCCTGGCCTCCTTCTCCTCACCCTGCCTCCTCCTCGCAGTGTAAACTGGAGTTGCTGGTGGGCAGCCCTGCTTCCTGCATGGAACTGGAGCTGTATGGTGTTGATGACAAGTTCTACAGCAAGCTGGATCAAGAGGATGCGCTGCTGGGCTCCTACCCTGTAGATGACGGCTGCCGCATCCACGTGAGGACTCTACCTGGGACACTTCCCCGCCCCACCATTCATTTGGCTATTCAACAGGCACTTGCTGGACTTTGCCCTCAGTCATACGCAAGATAGGTCCTGCCCCCGTGGAGCCTCCAGTGCAGCCTGAGGAGTGACAGACCCATCTTTAGACAGGAATAGCCTAGAGTGGTTTGGGCTGGGATCAGGAAATCCCAGGGGGCTGGGGCCACCCAGGAGAGGTGCCTGACCACCTGGGACAATCAGAGAGGGCTTCCTGGAGGAAGGGATGTCTGAGCTGAGGGATGAGGAAAGGGTGACTTAAGAGAAAGAGGTGGAAAGGAGGGAGCAGGGGGTACAGAGGCCTAGAATGTCAGGTAGGTCGCAGTGAGCGACCAGGCTGGACAGCTTGGGATAAGCCAGAACACAGAGGACTTTGTGCATCCGCTCACCACGTCTTTTCTGTCTTTTTTTTTTTTTTTTTTGAGCCAGTGTTTCACTCTGTCGCCCAGTCTGGAGTGGAGTGCAGTGGCACGATCTGGGCTCACTGCAACCTTCACCTCCTGGGTTCAAGCGATCCTCATGCCCCAGCCTCCCAAGTAGCTGGGATTACAGGCGCCCACCCAGCTAATTTTTGTATTTTTAGTAGAGACGGGTTTTCGCCATGTTGGCCAAGCTGGTCTGGAACTCCTGACCTCGAGTGATCAGCTCACCTTGGCCTACCAAAGTGCTGGGATTACAGGCGTGAACTACCAAGCCCGGCCCCTTTCTGTCCTTATTCCCTCCCCACCTCACTCAGTCTGTAGCAGCCACATTGCTCTTTGCACATCCCAGGTGAGCACTGCCTCTGGATCCTCTACTTGAATGGTTCTTTTGTCATATGCCTGCGTGCCTCACCCTTCCTTCCTGTCTTAAAGTGTCACCATTCTAGCGAAGCCTTCACTGGCCTCAGTGTTAATGTTCACCTCATTCTTTTTCCCTTCTTTGCTTTATTTTAGATTTTTGTGTTTACCAATGATTCCCCTCTGACACACTCTGGATTTCTCTCATCTGGTTTATTTACTCTCTGCCTCCCCGGATTCGATTGCCCTGAGGGCAGAAATTTTGATCACTATAATTCACTGCTGTGTCCCCAGTACTTGGAACAGTGCCTGGGACAGGGAGGATAGTCCGTGAATCGTTTTTTGTTTTGTTTTGTTTGAGACAGAGTTTCCGGCCCTTGTTCCCCAGGCTGGAATCCAGTGGTGCGATCTCAGCTCACTGCAACCTCTGCCTCCTGGGTTCAAGCTATTATCCTGCCTCAGCCGCCCTGGTAGCTGGGATTATAGGTGTGCACCACCACACCCGGCTAATTTTGTAATTTTGTATTTTAAGTAGAGACGGGGTTTTACCATATTGGCCAGGCTGGTCTTGAACTCCTGACCTCAAGTGATCCGCCCACCTTGGCCTCACAAAGTGCTGGGATTACAGGCGTGAGCCACCTGGCCCAGCCCTGTGAAACATTGTTGAATGATGAATTGAATCCATAAAGTAAGACCGCAAGGATAATGTAATTATCCCCATTTTGCAGAAGAGAAAACTTAGCTTCAGGGTAGAATTTATTTATTTTTGAGATGGAGTCTTGCTTTGTCCCCCAGGCTAGAGTGCAGTGGTGTGATCTCGGCTCACTGCAACCGCTGCCTCCCCGGTTCAAGCGATTCTCCTGCCTCAGCCTCCTAAGTAGCTGGGATTACAGGTGCCCGCCACTACGACCAGCTAATTTTTGTATTTTTATTAGAGATGGTGTTTCACCATGTTAGTCAGGCTGGTCTCGAACTCCTGACCTCAGGTGATCCACCCGCCTCAGCCTCCCGAAATGCTGGGATTACAGGCGTGAGCCACCACTTCTCTTTAGTAGAGAGGGTTGAAGGGGTGGCCTGCCCCTCCACACCTGTGGGCATTTCTCATTAGGTGGAACGAGAGACTTGAGAAAAGAAATGAGACACAGAGATAAAGTATAGAGAAGGAAAAAGTGGGCCCAGGGGACCCATGCTAAGCATACAGAGGACCCACACCAGCACTGGTCTCTGAGTTCCCTCAGTATTTATTGATCATTATCTTTACCATCTGAGAAAAGGGAAGTGGCAGGATAAGAGGATCATCATAGGGAGAAGGTTAGCAGTAAGACATATGAATAAAGATCTCTGTGACATAAGTTTAAGGAAAAGTGCTGTGCCTTGATATGCATATGCAAATATCTCCATAAACCTTTTTAGTGCATAAAGAGCAGCATTGCGCTAGCAAGTCCCACCTTCAGCCGTAAGGCGGTTTTCTGCTTTCTCAGTAAATAGAACATACAATCGGGTTTTACACCGAGATGTTTCATTGCCCAGGGACGGGCAGGAGACAGATGCTTTTCTCTATCTCAACTGCCAAGAGACCTTCTTTCCTCTTACACTAGTCCTCTTCGGCACAGACCCTTCACGGGTGTCGGGCTGGGGGACGATCAGGTCTTTCCCTTCCCACGAGGCCATATTTCAGACCATCACATGGTGAGAAACCTTGGACAATACCTGGCTTTGCTAGGCAGAGGTTCCTGCGAACTTCCGCAGTGTATGTGTCCCTGGGTACTTGAGATTAAGAGAATGGTGATGACTTTTAACCAGCAAGCTGCCTTCAGGCACTTGTTTAACAAAGCACACCCTGCACAGCCCAAAATCCGTTAAACCTTGAGTCACCACAGCAAGGACAGGGTTGGGGGTAGGGTCACAGATTAACAGCATCTCAAATACAGAACAAAATGGAGTCTCTTATGTCTACTTCTTTCTATACAGACACAGTAACAGTCAGATCGCTCTTTCTTTTCCCCACGGAGGGTGAAACCCCATCTCTACTAAAAATACAAAAATCAGCTGGGCGTGGTGGCAGCTGCCTGTAATCCTAGCTACTCAGGAGGCTGAGGCAGGAGGATCACTTGAACCCAGGAGCTGGAAGTTGCAGTGAGCCGAGATCATGCCACTGCACTCCAGTTTGGATGATAAAGCGAGATCCTATCTTAAAAAAAAAAAAAAAAAAAAAGTTAACTTAAGATGGAGAAGGGGTGCCCTAAGAATGGGGCACAGCAAACACTCCAAGGTGGGAGGGAGCATGGTGGGGATTAAGACAGGCCACTTCTGTGGTTAAATAGCATGGAAGCCGGGGAGGACCCTGACGTGGCTCAGGTGCCCCTCTGGTTGTGTGTGGGGAACAGATGGTGGAGGACAGGAAGAGTAGGAAGACCAGGAGGGGGCTGCTGTGAGAGTTCAGATGAGGGGGCGAGGCCTGGAGCTGTGGGTTAGGCCTCTGCTGGGTGCACAGGACTGAGCCTTTGGACCACCCTGGGCAGCTGAAGCTGAGGGGTGCGGGTGTTCATAGGTATCTCATAGGCAGTGGTTTCTTTGAGCAGGTTTCATACCAGGTGGTTCAGGTACACACAGACCTCCCAGGCCACTCAAGGAAGGAGTTCCAGAGGTGGAGCCACCGGGGAATTTTTACGTTTTCTAAAATTCTTTTTATAAATATCACCCGGGCCGGGCGCGGTGGCTCACGCCTGTAATCCCAGCACTTTGGGAGGCCGAGACGGGCGGATCACAAGGTCAGGAGATCGAGACCATCCTGGCTAACACGGTGAAACCCCGTCTCTAAGTACAAAAAAAACTAGCCGGGCGAGGTGGCGGGCGCCTGTAGTCCCAGCTACTCGGGAGGCTGAGGTTGGAGAATGGTGTAAACCCAGGAGGCGGAGCTTGTAGTGAGCCGAGTTCGCGCCACTGCACCCCAGCTTGGGTGACAGAGCAAAGACTCTGTCTCAATAAATAAATAAATAAATAAATAAATAAATAAATATCACCCATATTCATTGTCTAAAAATAATAGAACTTCAAATTTGTGAAAATTCTCAACATAGCAGAAATTCTCACTGATGCTTGATCTGGAAATAAAGCCCATTCCTATTTTGCCATGTTAGCCCAGTGGCTTAGGCCAAATGCCTCAGGGTGTTCCTTGGGCCCGCTCTCTCCCTCACCCCCACATCCATTCTCTCATCAAATCCTGTCGGCTCCATCTACAAAAACTTCCCTGACCTTGGTCCAGCCTCCATCCTTCCCCCAACCTCGCCATCCTGGCAACTTCTTCCCTGGCCTCCCTGCTCCCCATCTCAGCCAGAGGGAGCCTGGGACCACCTGAGTCAGGCCAGGGCCCTCTTATCTCAGAGCCGTACCCTGGCGGCAGCTCGCTCCAGATAAAACCCAAAGTCTAGGCCAGGTCGGTGACTGATGCCTGTAATCCCCCCCAGCACATTGGGAAGCAGAGGCGGGAAGATCACTTGAGGTCAGGAGTTTGAGACTAGCCTGGTCAACATGGCGAAACCCCGTCTCTACCAAAAATACAAAAATTAGCCAGGCGTGGTGGTGCATGCCTGTAGTCCCAGCTGCCCGGGAGGCTGAGGCAGGAGAATCACTTGAACTTAGGGGGAGGCAGAGTGAGCTGAGATCGCACCACCACACTCCAGCCTGGGCGACAGAGCGAGACTCCGTCAAAAAAACAAAACAAAACAAAACCCAAAGTCTACAGCAGTCCCTTGTGTCTTCCACTCTGGCTTCCTCCACCCCACCCACACCCCCCACTCCAGAGCATGAAGGACATTTCTACCTGTGGCCATCTGCACCTGCCATTCATGCTCATCCTTCCGGCCTTGGCTCAAAACATCCCCTCTTTTGGGAAGCCTGCTCTCCCACGCTCCTTAAGCCTCTTCTCTGTTGTATTTTTCTCCATAGCCATCCTCCGGTGTTTCACAGGTACCTGTTCCTTTGTGGTTGGCCTTCTCGCTGCACAATGAGCACAGCCTGAGGACAGAGTGTGTCTGTGTTTGCACTGAGTCCCCAGCATGAGGCCCAGCTGGGCCCCTGGGAGCTCAGAACCCAATGAGTGAATGAATACGAGGGGCAGAACAGGAAGAGATGCTCTGGGGCCTGTGGTTGGGGCCAGCATAGGAGAGTCCCAGAGCCCCAGCAGGAGATGCGCCATGCACAAGGCTGTGGGCAAGGCCCGAGCTCTGCTGGTTGGACTCCGTGAATTTGGGGCCCTTGGTGATGTTGATGCCGGCAAGTGGGGGACTTCTGGGTACAGAGGCCGTCTCCGGGAGCTTGGATGGGGGTGAGGAAGGGGAGGCGGCCAGTGTAGGTAGCTACTTCTCCCTTCCGCGGGGCTCAGGAGAGGAGAGAAGGCTGCCGTACAGGCGAGGAAGGGAGATGCGTTTTTCCCAGATGGGAGACACTGAAGTCCCTGCACCCAGCACCCAGGCTTCCCTGGCCAGACCCTGATCCCCACGGAGCCCCTCCTCTCACACAGGTCATTGACCACAGCGGCGCCCGCCTTGGTGAGTATGAGGACGTGTCCCGGGTGGAGAAGTACACGATCTCACAAGAAGCCTACGACCAGAGGCAAGGTACGGGCAGGTGGGCGCCGAGAGGTGCGTGGGGGCCAGAGGGAGTATGTGCAGGCGTGGGGGCGGGCAGGGTAGACAGGGCCACTGCAGGGAGGCCAGTGGTGTGGGCAGTGGGGACCGAGAGCTTGGGAGGATATAGGGGTGAGGCTGGGAGTGGGGACAGGCGGGGGTCTGGGGTGGGAATGGGGGCCGGGAGGTGTCGGGGGGTGTGGGCAGTCAGACGTGGTGGGGGGAGGGCTGGGAAAGTGGAGGGAGTTGAGGGGTAAGTGTGGGGGCTGGGTGTTGGGGGCAGCAGTCAGGGTCAGAAGGAGACATGGAGAGGTCGGATGGGGTGTGAAGGGCAGCACAGGTGGAATGTGAGTGGCCAGGGTGGCGGTCAGTGAGGGCACCTGGGACGGATCAGAGTGTGGGGGAGACGGGGCCTCAGAGCCGAAGGAAGGCGGATGATGAAGGCAGATGTGTGCCGAAGGGGTGAGAGACCATGGGTCCTGTGGTGAGGGGTGCACGCGGCACCCCTTCCGTTTCTGATTGTGGCGAGGCCCTAGGAGTCCTGGGAGAGGCTAAGGCTGTGGTGGGAGACCTGGGGCTTGGGTGACAGCCCTTTGTCACCTGGAAGAGAGTGTTCCTCCATGAACATGGGCCCTTCGTGGGTGGAGCGCCATCATGTTAGGCCCGGCCGATACCCTAACTGACTCCAGCCCCCTCCGCCCACAGACACGGTCCGCTCCTTCCTGAAGCGCAGCAAGCTCGGCCGCTACAACGAGGAGGAGCGGGCTCAGCAAGAGGCCGAGGCCGCCCAGCGCCTCGCCGAGGAGAAGGCCCAGGCCAGCTCCATCCCCGTGGGCAGCCGCTGTGAGGTGCGGGCGGCGGGGCACTCCCCCCGCCGGGGCACCGTCATGTATGTAGGTACGTGGTCCGCGGGCCCCGGGGTCCCGGGCTGCAAGGCCGGGAGGAGACGTTGTGCACACAGTGGAGCCTCGGAGACCTCACGCTCTGCCTTGGGGCGCGGGGTGGGGGGGTTCGAAACGATCTCAGTCCCTGGAGGTGGTGGAACCATCGGCCGACACTGACCGCCCAGTGTTTGTGGAGGGAAGTGGGAGGCACAGGTGGAGTGATCTGTCCAGCGAGGGAGGCAGCAGAGGCCCGAGCCACGCAGACTGTGCGCTTGGAAGCGTGGAGCACAGTGCCAGTCGCAGTGGGGAAACGGACGGCGTGACCAGGGCCGGAGTGAGGGGAACTAACACAGGGGGCTGTGTGAGCCCAGAGGAAGCACCTGGGAGCATCTGAAGGAAAGGGGGCAGCAGCCAGGTGAAAAGGAAGGCAGAGTTCCTACCAGAAGGAGTAGCCGGTGCGGGTGAGCAGAGCGTAGGAGGTTCACCCAGGGAAGGGGAGCGGGAGGAGAGGGGAGAAGTGAAGTCAGGGGCATGGGCAGGGTGGTGTCACAGTGGAGAGCAATGTGGATTTTTTAAAAAAAGAACAGGCCAGCCATGATGGCTCACGCTTGTAATCTCAGCACTTTGGGAGAACAAGGTGGGAGGCTTGCTTGAGCCCGGGAGTTGGAGGTTACAGTGAGCTATGATTGTGTCATTGCACCCCAGCCTGGGCAGCAGAGAAAGACCCAGTCTCAAAACAAAGGCTGGGTGCAGTGGCTCACACCTGTAATTCCAGCACTTCGGGAGGCTGAGACAGGAGGATCACTTGAACCCAGGAATTTTTTTTTTTTTTTTTTTTTTTTGAGACGGAGTCTCGCTATGTCGCCCAGGGTGGAGTGCAGTGGCCGGATCTCAGCTCACTGCAAGCTCCGCCTCCCGGGTTTTTACGCCATTCTCCTGCCTCAGCCTCCCGAGTAGCCGGGACTACAGGCGCCCACCACCTCGCCCGGCTAGTTTTTTGTATTTTTTTTAGTAGAGACGGGGTTTCACCGTGTTAGCCAGGATGGTCTCGAACTCCTGACCTCGTGATCCGCCCGTCTTGGCCTCCCAAAGTGCTGGGATTACAGGCTTGAGCCACCGCGCCTGGCCAAACCCAGGAATTTAAGACCAGTCTAGGCAACATAATGAGACTCTGTCTCTACAAAAAAAAAAAAAAAAAAAATCCCACAAGACTTTAGTCAGGTGTGGTGGTGAGCACCTATGGGTACCACAGCTACTTGGGAGGCTGAGGTGGGAGGAGGTGAGGCTGCAGTGAGCAATGATCGCACCACTGCACTGCCGCCTGGGTGACAAAGCGAGACCCTGTCTCAAAAAAAAAGATTTCAGGGGGTACATGTGGTGTTGTTACATGGGTGTGTTGCCTGCTAGTGGGTGGGGACTGGGCTTCTAGTGTACCCATGACCCAAATTGTGAACATCGTACCCAATAGGTAATTTTTCAACCCTCACCACCCTCCCGCTTCTGGCATCCCCACTATCTGTTATTTCCGTCTTTATGCCTGTGTGTACCCATCCCCCAGTCATCTGCAGCCACTAATTTACGTTCTGTCTCTAATTTGCCGATTCCGGATGTTTCATAGGAATAGGATCGTGCAATCTGTGACTGACTGCTTCCACTGAGCAGAATGCTTTCAGGTTGCATCCATGGCATGTCTGTGTCAGTGCCACAGTGTTACCAAATAGTCCTGCATTGAACGCATAGACCACATTTTATCCAGTCACCAGTTAGTGGACATTAGGGTCATTTCCACTTTTTGGCTATTATGAATAATGCTGCTATGAACCTTCTTCTTCTTTTTTTTTTTTTTTTTTTCTAATTTGAGACAGGATGTGGCTGTTGCCCAGGCTGGAATGCAGTGGCGTGATCTTGGCCACTTCAGCCTTAACCTCTTGGGCTCAAGCCATCCTCCCACCTCGGCCTCCTGAGTAGCTGGGACTACAGGCACTCATCACCACCCCCAGCTAAAGGTTTGCAGTTTTTTTGTAGAGATGGGGTTTCGCTATGTGGCCCAGGCTGGTCTCCAAGCTCCTCCTGCTCAAGTGATCATCCTGCCTCAGCCTCCCAAAGTGCTAGGATTACAGGCGTGAGCCACCATGCTCGGCCTGAACATTCTTGTATAAATTTCTATGTGGCTGGACGCGGTGGCTCATGCCTGTAATCCCAGCACTTTGGGAGGTCAAGGTTGGCAGATCACCTGAGGTCAGGAGTTTGAGACTAGCCTGGCCAACATGGTGAAACTCCATCTCTATTAAAAATACAAAAATTAACTGGGCGTGGTGGCACGTGCCTGTGAGCCCAGCTACTCAGAAGGCTGAGGCAGGAGAATCGCTTGAGCCCGGGAGGTGGAGGTTGCAGTGAGCCAAGATCACGCCACTCCACTCCAGCCTGGGTGACCATGCAAGACTCCATCTCAAAAAAAGTAAATAAATTTTTGTGTGGACATTTGTTTTAATTTATCTGTGCCTAGGAATGGAATCCCTGGGCCACGTGGTAACTCTGTGCTTGACTTTTTGAGGACCTGCCGCACTGCTTTCCACAGCCACTGCAGCATTTTTCATTCCCGCCAGCAGCGCACAAGAGTCCCATCTTGGCCTCATCCTCACCAGCACTTTAGTCTGTCTTTTGCTTATAGTCATCCACTGAGTGTGAAGGGGAACATCATTATGGTTTTGATTTGCACTTTTTTGGGGGCTAATGATGTTGAGCATCTTTTCATGGCCATTTGTGTATCTTCTTTGGAGAAATTGTCTATTCAGATCCTTTGCCTTTTGTTTCTTGTTTTTTGACACAGAGTCCCACTCCGTCACCCAGGCTGGAGTTTAGTGGTGCTGTCAGCTCACTGCAACCTCTGCCTCCCGGGTTCAAGTAATTTTCATGCCTCAGCCTCCCGAGTAGCTGGGATTACAGGCGAGCGCCACCACACCTGGCTAATTTCTTTATTTTTTGTAGAGACAGGGTTTTGCCATGTTGGCCAGACTGGTCTCAAACTCCTGGACTCAAGTGATCCACCTGAGGCTCGTGGATCTCCTAAAGGGCTAGGATTACAAACATGAGCCACCGTGCCCAGCAGTATGTCGGGGTTTTTTTTTTTTTTTCTTTTGAGATGTAGTCTTGCTTTGTGCCCAGGCTGGAGTGCAGTGGTGCGATCTCAGCTCGTTGCAACCTCCGCCTCCCAGGTTCAAATGGTTTTCCTGCCTCAGCCTACGGAGTAGCTGGGACTGTAGGTGCCTGCCACCACACCCGGCTAATTTTTTGTATTTTTAGTAGAGATGGGGTTTCACCGTGTTAGCCAGGATGGTCTCGATCTCCTGACCTCGTGATCCACCCTCCTTGGCCTCCTAAAGTGCTGGGATTACAGGCGTGAGCCACCGTGCCTGGCCAGTGTGTCATCTTTTGAGGAATGTGTGTTCATATCCTTTGGCCATGATCATGGCTCACTGCTGCCTCAACTTCGTGTTGCCCACTTTTTAATGGGATTTTTTTTTTTTTTTGCGGGATGGGTGTTGAGTTCTTTGAGTTCCTTGTATATTCCTCTGCTTGCTTTTTCATTGGGATGCTGTCTTTTGTCGCTGAGTATTGTGTATTAGTTTGCTAACAAAGTGCCACTCACTAGGTGACTTAAAAGAAAGTTATTTCTCACAGTAATAGAGGCTAGAAGTTCAAGATCAAGCTGTCAGCAGGTTGGATTTATTCTGAAGCCTCTCCCTCTGGCAAGGCAGCAGTGCCATCCACTTTAGGTTTTTATGAAGCCCTCACTGGCTGGTGTCTTCACCCAGTGAATGGGGGACAGGGGCGGGAGCAGGGACACCAGCGAAGTGGCTACCATATTAGTCTGGACAGGAGATGGAGATGGTTCTAGTGGTAGCAGTGGAGGTAGCAAGAATTGGTTTTCACCAAGACGTGGGCCGACACGGATCCAGGGTGATCCTGAAATTTCATGGGATTTCTTCTATGTCCAGAAGTTTAATGGGGATTTCTCTTCGTGGGCAGGTCTCACAGATTTCAAGCCTGGCTACTGGATTGGTGTCCGCTATGATGAGCCACTGGGGAAAAATGATGGCAGGTAACAAGAATTCCCACTCAGGTGTCTGTGCGTGCGTTTGTGTGTAAGTCCATGCATGCTGCTGGCTGAGCTGCCCATGCCAGCACCTGGAGTGGAGCCATGTGAGGATCCTCTGACCACACCCACCCCCATCCTGTCCTGCAGTGTGAATGGGAAACGCTACTTCGAATGCCAGGCCAAGTATGGCGCCTTTGTCAAGCCAGCAGTCGTGACGGTGGGGGACTTCCCAGAGGAGGACTACGGGTTGGACGAGATATGACACCCAAGGAATTCCACTGCTCCAGCTCCTAACTCGGCCACTGACTGCCCCTCCTGTGTGTGCCCATGGCCCTTTTCTCCTGACCCCATTTTAATTTTATTCATTTTTTCCTCTGCTATTGATTTTTGACACTCGTGCATTAAATTCACTAGAAACCCGGAAAGGATTTGGAGAACTTGATGATTTGGGGACCCACTGGGTAAATAGTGACCCTTCTGTATCAGGGGCCAGCCTCCATGTCCTTATATCTTGCTACTCCCCCATCTTCTCATTCCCACCTCATCTGCTGTAGCTACCAGGAAGAAGGGGAAGGGAAGGGAGGGGATAGTCTTTGCCTTTAAAAATGATGTACAACTCAGCCAGGCACAGTGGCTCTTGCCTGTAATCCCAGCACTTTGAGAGACTGAGCTGGCAGGTCGCTTAAGCCCGGGAGTTTGAGACCAGCCTGGGCAACATGGCAAAACTTCATCTATACCAAAAATACAAAAAATGAGTCAGGTATGGTGGCGCATGCCTGTAGTCCCAGCTACTTGGGAGGCTGAGGTGGGAGAATGACCTGAGCCCAGAAGGTCGACGCTACAGTGAGTTATGGCACCACTGCATTCCAGCCTGGATGACAGAGCAAGACCCTGTCTCAAAACCAAAAAAAAAGAAAAAGAGGCCGAGCACAGTGGCTTACGCCTGTAATCCCACCATTTTGGGAGGTCGAGGCAGGAGATCGAGATCATCCTGGCCAACATGGTGAAACCCTGTCTCTACTAAAAATACAAAAGTTAGCTGGGTGTGGTGGCATGTGCCTGTAATCCCAGCTACTCAGGAGGCTGAAGCAGGAGAATGGCTTGAACCTGGGAGGTGGAGATTGCAGTGAGCTGAGATCGTGCCACTGCACTCCAGCCTGGCGATAGTGAGACTCCGTCTCAAAAAAAAAAAAAAAAGCCAGGCATGGTGGCTCTGCCCATAATCCCAGCACTTTGGGAGGCCGAGGAGGGCAAACCACTTGAGTTCAGGAGTTTAAGACCAGCCTGGACAACGTGGCAAGAAACCCTATCTCTACAAAAAATACAACAAAAAATTAGCTGGGTGTGGTGGCACACACCTGTAGTCCCAGCTACTTGGAAGGCGAGGTGGTAGGATCACCTGAGCCTGGGGAGGCAGAAGCTGCAGTGAGCTGTGTTCACACCACTGGACTCCAGCCTGGGTGACAGAGCGAGATTCCATCTCAAAAAAAAAAGGGCCGACACCACGACACCAGCGCATGGCGTGTCACATTATTAAGGATTGTATACAGCCAGCGGTTACTAGGCTGGTTTCCTTTAATCCTCACAGGGGCCCTGTCTGCAAGTCTTTCGCCGTTTCCCGTCAACACCCCACCTTTCCTGCCCAAAGTTTGGGGTCGGGCGGGAATTCCCAGGAGTTCCCAGGAGTTGGGCTAGCCTCCCAGATCCCGCAACCTTAGCGTGCCTAGCCTCGGTAATGACCACCTAGCTGCCATGAGGGGGCAGCAGCGCACCGTTCAGACGCTGCGCGCATGGTGCATTATGGGACGCGTAGTCTCAAAGACAGCAGAAGCAGCCTGGAACGCAAACGGCATTTTCCAGAAAACTGGGCCTGGTCTTGCCCAAAGCTGGAAGCTGAGGTCTCGCTCTTCCTGGCGGTACGGGGGATTGTGGGATGTAGGCATTTGGCTCCGCGCTCCGCTAAGGGCGGTACAGCGCAGGCGCGAGGCATCTGGTGTAGACAACCGAGCTTAATCCGAGGCGGGGAACCAGCGTCCCAGGGGAGGCGCCGAAGCTAACTTTCTGGCCACAGTGGAAGTGAGGCGATCGAGCTCCCTTAGTGGCTGGAGCCGGCTGGGCCTCCTTCCTGTCCTCCTGCATCTCTACTGGTCCCTTTCCCGGGCTCCTGGTCCGCTCCCAAGCCTGTTCAAGCACAAGGCGTTTCCATCTAAAAAAAGAAATCTCTTTCGCCGGGCGAGATGTCAGAGCCCCGGGAGCTAAAGTGTTGGTAATGTTAGACAGGATGAGTTCCTCTTCAAATATCTAACTTCCTTGTCCTTCGTTCTGTGAACTGCCCTTCCTGCGGAAACTGTCCTTCCCGGGGAAACTGCCCCTCCTCGCCGCTGCAACCCATACCCGCCTCTATTTGAAATAGCCAATGGGAATCAGCTTAGATTGTGAGGTCCAAGCCTAGCCAATGGGGTTAAAAACCCCTGCTCTCCTTTGTTAGGTGTGGTTTTGGTACAGGTCCGGGCAGCACCCTTCTGCAGAAGTAAACTTTGCCTTGCTAAGAAACTTTTTTCCTGAGTGCTGGTCTCTCTCTGTGGCACCGAGAACTTATTTCTAACAGTAAGAAGAATTTACTGAGGACAGCATAAGCTTGAAAAAGAAAAGTTTTATTAGAAAGAATGCTGCAGGGCGCCGTGGCTCACGCCTGTAATCCCAGCACTTTGGGAGGCTGAGGCGGGCCGATTGCCTGAGCTCAGGAGTTGGAGACCAGCCTGAGTAATCCAGTGAAACCACATCTCTACGAAAATACAAAAAATTACCTGGACATGGCAGCATGTGCCTGTAGTCCCAGCTGCTTGGGAGGCTGAGGCAGGAGAATTGCTTGAACCCTGGAGGAGGAGGTTGCAGGGAGCTGACATCATGACACTGCATTCCAGCTTGGGTGACAGAGCAAGACTCAGTCTCAAAAAAAAAAAAAAAAAAAAAAAGGAAAGAAATAATGCTGCAGGCCAGGCAGGGTGGCTCACGCCTCTAATCCCAGCACTTTGGGAGGCCGAGGCAGGTGGATCACCTGAGGTCAGGAGTCTGAGACCAGCCTAGCCAACATGATGAAACACCATCCCTACTAGAAACACAAAAATTAGCCGGGCGTGGTGGCGCGTTGTCCCAGCTATTTAGGAGGCTGAGGCATGAGAATTGCGTGAACCCAGGAGGGAGAAGTTGCAGTAAGCCGAGATTGAGATCGTGCCACTGCACTCCATCCAGCCCGGGCAACAAGAGGGAAACTCTGTCTCAAATAAATAAATAAACAAGGAAGTAAATACATGGGCCCAGGAGAAGGTTTGGAAGCATTACTAAAGTTTAGCAAAGCAGAGAATTTTTGTCAATTGCATTGTCAGCCTGATCCATCTATTATAAAACCATAGTCAAACTTCAGAAAAGAGGTCTGGTGTTATATGTTACTTCCTCCTTCTCCCTCTCTCCGCTCCACAAAAACAACTTTTTTTTTTTTTCATAATTGCAAAAGCCCTTCCTCGTTACTAAACTCAAAAGGCAATTCTGCACCTCAGTGTCCTGGTCCTGCAGTAACAGCTGATGTTTAGACGAGCAGTTCTGTGTTTTTTTTTTTTGTTTTTTTTTTTGAGACAGCCTCTTTCTGTTGCCCAGGCTGGAGTGCAGTGGCGTCATCTTGGCCCACTGTAACCTCTGATTCAAGTGATTCTCCTGCTTCAGCCTGTCAAATAGCTGAGATTACAGGTGTTCGCCACCACACCTAGTTAAGTTGTATTTTTAGTACAGACAGAGTGTCACCATGTTGGTCAGGCTGGTCTCAAACTCCCGGCCTCAACTGATCCTCCTGCCTCAGCCTCCCAAAGTGCTGGGATTACAGGTGTGAGCCACCACACCCAGCCTGGACAAGCGGCTCTTAAACTTTTGTGTCTCAGGACCTCTTTACACTCTTGAAAGTTATTGAGGACCTCAAAGAGCTTTTGTTCATGAGTGTTGTATCTGTAGAAATTAGCCACATTAGAAATTTAGAATTTTAGGCTGGGTGCCATGGCTCACGCCTGTAATCCCAGCACTTCGGGAGGCCGAGGCGGGCGGATCATGGGCTCAGGAGTTCAAGACCAGCCTGGTCAACATAGTGAAACCCCGTCTCTACTAAAAATACAAAAATTAGCCGGGCATAGTGGTGCATGCCTGTAGTCCCAGCTACTCAGGAGGGTGAGGCAGAAGAATCACTTGAACCTTGGAGGTGGAGGTTGCAGTAAGCTGAGATAGTGTCACTGCACTCCAGCCTGGGTGACAGAGGGAGATTCCATGTCGAAGAAAAAAAAAAAGAACCTTAGGATTTTAAATGTTTATTCATTTTAAAAAAACATTGCATGTATTAAAATTTTTTTTTCAGCCAGCGCTTTGGGAGGCCAAGGCAGGCAGATCACCTGAGGTCAGGAGTTGGAGACCAGCTGGCTAACATGGTGAAACCCCATCTCTAACAAAAATAACATGAGTGTGGTGGTGGGCGCCTGTAATCCCAGCTACTTGGGAGGCTGAGGCAGGAGAATTGCTTGAACCCAGGAGGCAGAGTTTGCAGTAAGCCCAGATCCTGCCATTGCACTCCAGCCTGGGTGACAGAGTGAGACTCTGTCTCCAAAAATTTTTTTTTTTTTTTTTTTTTTTTTTTTGAGACAGAGTCTCGCTCTGTCGCCCAGGCTGGAGTGCAGTGGCCGGATCTCAGCTCACTGCAAGCTCCGCCTCCCGGGTTTACGCCATTCTCCTGCCTCAGCCTCCCGAGTAGCTGGGACTACAGGGGCCCACCACCTCGCCCGGCTAGTTTTTTTTGTATTTTTTAGTAGAGACGGGGTTTCACCGTGTTAGCCAGGATGGTCTCGATCTCCTGACCTCGTGATTCGCCCGCCTCGGCCTCCCAAAGTGCTGGGATTACAGGCTTGAGCCACCACGCCCGGCCAAAAAATTTTTTTTCAACAAATTTAGTTTAGAGATATGATTGGCATTTATTATTGATACATGAACTGGGCATCATGCCACCTAGCTGCACTGGGCGTGGCAGAATGGTTGGTTTTTGTAAAGTAGCTTCGTCAGGAACAAGGAAACAGAAAAATAAAAAAAGCAGATTGGTTCATATCAGATGACTTTCATATCAGATGACTTTCCTTGTTCAAGCAGAAGAGCCATCCCTATCATGCCTGCTTAGGTTGACTGGACCCTTTCTAATTGGTTGCTGTGCCTCTCCTTGTTTGGGGATTTTTTTGTTTTAGAAATGGTCTGTTCTGTGGCCCACCCTGTAGTGCAGTGGTCATTCACAGGTGCCGTCAGAGCAGCCTTAAGCAATCTTCCCACCTCAGCTTCCCAACATGCTGGGATTACAGGTGTGAGCCACTGCACCTGGCCTAAATTGTTAAATTTTGGTGTTAAT